AAACAGTCTGCATTTACATGGAACAGACAACAGTATTTATTTCATATTGCCCCAGGGCTATGTTAACTTTCCCATTTGTTGTCATAATATAACTGCAATCGTTCTGAACCAGCTAGAAACTAAGGGGGTGAAAGCAAGAGTAGCCCCACTTACCGTTACACTCAATGACCCACATGGGGATTTTGTGCCTTCCATCACCACAGGTCTGGGCTTTGTAGGGTTCGAGGTCCTAGTCACCAAAGAGAGGACCCTTAAATGACTGTTTCCACCCGGGCACTCTGGACTTCTGGTGTCCAAAGACCAGCAGGTAAGAAAGGGAGGCATCATTCTGGCAGGGATAACTGCTTCCTGCTGAGGAGGCAGAGCTACGCTTACACAATGGGGACAGAGAGGAATATGTCTGAAATGTGGTGGAGCCAAATAGGCACTTTTAGTAGTTTTTGCCCAGTTATACTGGGGGCTCAGATCCCTTAGCAACGAGAGATTGGGGTCTACCATTGGGTAAATCATAAAGACCTGCCCAAGTGACACTGAAAAGTAAAGAGAATTTAGAACGGATAGTGGAGGAGGGAGACTGACTAAATGCAGAAATGGAGCTATTAGTTCATCCAACTAACCTCTTCTAGGTTTCTCCTCTAGAAAAGATGCCCACATGAACCAGGGAGATGCTGCTTACCAAACACATGTAGAGCAACAGATCTGTGTGGCAGAAGCTGTGGAAATGGCAGCCATGGAAGTACTGCACTCAGATCTCCCTTCAAGAGAAGCACCTATGAGGAGAATAGTTCCTGGGCAGCCTCCAGCTATTCACCTTGGATCTAATGCAGCTTTCATTCTGAGGCCTTGCTCTCCATCGGTTTCTCCTAGCCAGTGGCCAAGCACGGGAAGAAGATGAAAGCTGGCCATACCAGCCCAACGTGGGACTCCTGTGATGGGCAGTCTTTGCACTGGGGCTTCCTGTTGGTCTGGCTGAGATGTTAACAGAGTTTCACTGCCACTGAAATCTCCTACTCAGTTCTCCTCTCTTCCCTCTCCTTGCACAGCTGTTAGCCCTGCACAGGGCTCTGAAGGCTCTCCCTGCCCATTCCTGCTCCCTCTCTCCTGTACCCTTTACAAACATTTCCCTTCTGCATGTTTTATTCTGGTTGGCATATATTTCTCAGAGGACACAAAGTGGAAGAGGAGGCCTCAGAAAAAGGCAAATAAAATTCCTCTACTAAAAAAAACAACAACAACCATGCATTGCTGGATGGAGAAGTGACGGGGCAGGGCTTGCAGATATATACTTTCTGGATATTTTCAAAATTGCAAAGAAACAAATAACTGTCATGGAGAAAATCTTTAGTCTAAAGCTATTTTTAAGCATCTCCATAATTCCAAGTTCTATTAACTTGTGTGAAAACTCCTACACTTGTCAGATCAAATTCTTGTTCTCTGCCCAATTTGGAAGTTTCCCTTCTGAGTGGCAAAGGACTGTAATTGAACTTGTGGTCCTGAACCTTGACTGGAAGAAGATTGGCCCAAATCTTATTTCTCTCCAATTTCTCTGGGATCACTAAGGACAGCACTTCTCTTGACTTTCAGAGGAAGCTGTGAAAAAGCATTAACACTTTGTACTTTATAGCTTGTCATGATGGACTGCAGAGTACCTCCTTACCCATCATCTTATTTTCAATTGTGCACCCACCAGGTGAAGGACAGTCTCTGCTAACACCTTTTTTTAAAGCAATTGGATGATTTGCCACTTCCATTTTATGATGTGCTTAAAATAAGATATACAGTTGACTCCTGAACAACATGAATTCATGTGAACTACACAGGTTCACATATATGTGGATTTTAAAAAATACAGTACTGTAAATGTATTTTTCTCTTCCTGATTCTCTTTTCTCTAGCTTATTTGATTGTAAGACTACAGTATATAATACATATAGCATACAAAATGTGTGTTAAACAACTGTTTATATATCAGTAAGACTTTCATCAGCAGTAGGCTATTAGCATTATCAACAATAGCCAGAATATGGAAAGAGGCCAAATGTCCATTAACTGATGAGTTGGTAAAGAAGATGTGGTACACATACACACACACACACACACACACAGAGGAATATTACTCAGCCATCAAAAAGAATGAAATCTTGCCATTAGCAATGATGTGGATGGAGCTAGAGTGTATTATGTTAAGTGAAATAAGTCAGAGAAAGACAAATATCATATGATTTCACTCATATCTGGAATTTAAGAAAAACTGATGAACATATGGGAATGGGGAAAAAAGAGGAGGTGGGTGGGAAACAAACCATAAGAGACTCTTAATTATAGAGAACCAACTGAGGGTTGATGGAGGGACGTGGGTGGGGGATGGGCTAGATGGGTGACGGGGATTAAGGAGGGCACTTGTGATGAGCACTGGGTGTTGTATGTAAGTGATGAATCACTGAATTCTACTCCTGAAACTAATATTGCACTGTATGTTACCTAACTAGAATTTAAATAAAATTTTGAAGGAAACCCCCCCCAAAACCCACAGGAGGCTATTAAGTTTGGGGGAGTCAAAAGTTACTTGTGGATTTTCAACTGTGTGGGGTGGGGCAGGGGGTGCTCCAACTCCTACAGGGGTTCAAAGACCAACTGTAATTGTAAATGGAATTGTTGAAACTAGAGAGCCCACACCAAAAAAGTGACATCCCCTGCATGGTAAAAGAAATAAAAACAAAGCCATATGGGAAATGGTTGAGAAACTGATGCTAAAAATAGGTCAGAAAGAAAAGAGGACTCTAGCTCTTTGATTGTAAAAGAAGCACCAAGTGTTCTCCCTACAACAGATCATCTTATCATGTCTGTATCTTTTGAATAATTGGCTTGAAGACTACTGAAAAAAATTTTTTTGGCTATGATTTATTTATTTGAGAGAGAGCACATGCACGCATGTGCGTGCAAGAGTGGGGGGAAGGGCAGAGAAAGAGGGAGAGAGAGAATCTCAAGCAGACTGGGCAATGAACATGGAGCCCAACATGGGGTTCCATCTCACGACCCTGTGATTATGACCTGAGCCGCAATCAGGAGTCTGATGCTTAGCTGACTGAGCCATCCAAGTGCCCCTCTACTGAAAAAATTTTGTTATTTCTTCTCCCAAATCAGTAAGTGGCAAAAAAAAGTATCTCTGACTTGGTTGAATCAAATCTATGAAAACCTGAGTCATTCCATGCATGGAGGAAACAAGGAGACTGGATTAAAATGGCCTTTGTTACAGTACCAATAGCCGCAGTTGCCGAGCATGTTCAACAAGCCAGAAGCTTCCCACAAATTGCTCTCACCACACAAGGACACTACAAAGTCAGTATAATTTACCCTGCTGTACAGGGTAGATCCCAGAGGCTCACAAATGCCTGGTAACTTTGCTGGGGTCAACCAACTTGGACAAGGCAGAGTCCAGGTGGGTCAGTGCGTGTCCAAAGCTAGTCCACCCTCTCACCTTATCTTCAGGCAAGAAAAAGATGGGGGAGAGGCAGGGAGCGGCTGGGTAGGATTTTTAAAAAAGATTTATTTATTTACTTGAGAGAGAAAGAACAAGAGAGTGAGAAAGAGAAAGCACAAGGGGGTTGGGGGAGAGGCAGAGGGAGAGAGCGAATCCCAGACTCCACACTTGATCTCACAACCCTGAGATCACAACCTGGGGTAAGACTGTTTTAAGAGCAATAGCAGATCCTTGTAATGAAATGAAATCAGACTGTGCACAAAGAATTTTATAATAGTTGGAAAGAATGAGAACAACACTGATAACTGTAGGGTTACTGTAAGATGTGGGGAATAATCCTGGTGGGGAACATTTAAAAAACAAGCAGATAATTCTTCCTCTTCTAAACTCCTTTGCACTTCATTTGAGCACATCATCTAGGCCATATTAGGGCTCAAAAGATATTTTTGAACTAATAAATAAATTTGTACCTCTATTAAAATAGCATTGGCTTTTTGCCTTGTGCTGTAGGTATTTAAATCTCCCTTCCTGGATAGTGTTTTTATATCAATAGCCTCTTGCATTTCTGTAGCAATTTATGGTCAAATTTTGTGTACCTCATTTTACTTAGAGCAATTCTATGAGGTTTGAAAGGCCAGCATTCTTATCTACATTTTAAGGGCTTTGAGGCTGAGAGAGAAATGATTTGCTTAAAGTCACATACCTAGCACAGGGGAATGCTTGAACTTCAATTAAGGATTTCTATATTTCACATCTGCTTTCTTTCAAACATGCAGAGTCCTCTTACGGAAAACTGCCCTTCTGATTCATCATTGTAGTGTAACATAGCCAAGCCCTACACCTTACTCAGGATAATGTTCCATGAGTATCTGCTGGGTCATTTTTAAGAATGAATGATTGAAGGGCATGAATGAAACCCTCCAAGAAATGGTTGAATGAGGTTTGCATTTGGACAATCTAACTTTCAGATCTGGGTGGAAAGTGTTCTAGTAAATTCCTCTGTCTACTCACATTTTATTTAAATAAATATCCTCCCAGATGTCCTCAAAGGAGACAGTTTTACCACACTTCCCAGTTGAAAAATATTTGTGTTTAGTCCTTTCAGAGGCTATAAATCTCTCTAATCAGTGCCTAATGGTTTTTGGGATGACTCTGAGCAAGTATCCCATTAATTGAAAGAATGTTGTCATCTGCCACAGAGATTTCTCATTATGTTTCATCAAATTCAAAACAGAACCCTGTTTGGAATTCTTTTATGAACAGCGTAATTACACCACATCCTATGGTGTTTGGAAGTAATGCTCACAATTAGCATCTCTGCCATGAGTGGGAAGTGATCCATGCTAAGTAGGAGCTGGGCCAGATGGGTCTTGCTAAGACCCCCACCCTTCCCCCTTCAGCTCCATTAAATTAAGCTGTCCCTATGTGTGTGCAAAAAGACATAAATCTTTTACTTCTGTGTGTATTAAAGAAATGCATCCGCTTCCATTAATTAAAAGTCAACTGTTTCTGTTTACAGTGATCAGGGTAGAACAGACACTTATGCCAAAGAATTCCAGAGAAGCAGATCCTGATGAGATGCCACAGTCCTCAGCAGGCTGTGAAGCAAGAAGAGCTGGGACATGAACTAACCTGTCCTTGTCCTGGAAGGTAAGGGGGACAGCATCCCAACAGACCCAGGCCTCTATTTCCCCTATTGCAAAATGGCCCCAATGTGGGAACATGGCTGTTAATCTCCACGGGCGCACAGAACACAAGATCCTGTCTGATGAACAGCACCACTGGGCCTGCCAGTCCTGTGGAGCAGTGTATATTTTGTCTTGGGATCTCCATTTTCCTCCCAACATTGACAGTTGTTTCTGATTTTCCTTTTCACTTCAAATTGCTCTCCTCCCCTACTCCCCACAAATACAAACCTACTCATAATCTCTTAAGGTACTCAGAGTTTTCTTCTTTCTGTTCTTCCCTTCTTTACTTGCAGTTGTTCCTAAGTCATGTCTCAACCATTTACACCTTAATAAGTTCAGCCAATGTTTGGTTCCCCATGTATATTACATTATATATTGTATGTATGTGTGTGTGTATATATATATATAGTATATACTCCACATACGTACTATATATAAATATATACATAAAATAAGTGTAGTTCTTCAATACGGGAAAAAGGGTTTTGTGCCTGATTAAAGAATTGTTTAGACTTCCTTCTTATCTATCAGTGTCCTTTTTCTGTCATAAATCTCATAATAGACAAATTGGGGACAATTTTTAAATGAAAAGTAAAAGAATTTCGCCTCCAATCCTATCCCTCAGAATTGACCACCTTAAATATTTTGGTGTATTTTTCTATCTCTTTTCCACTTATAAAATTACAAAATATTTGTTCCTTGCAAAAAAGTATACACTCTTACTCTTGTTTTAGGCATGATTCCAACAATGTTGGTTTCATTTCCCTGTCCACAGTAGATTAGAGATAGCAATTTTAAAGCAGGGAGATTGACAAGGAAAGACAGCAGGAAGAAAAGAATTGAGACTCCCCAACTCTGCTGTCCTATGTTTATCCTCTTGAAGGCTGGTGAGTGAGAAAAACAGAGTTAGACATAAGAATTGGGGGCAAATAGCTCCCTGTATACAACTTGAAGCCGAGTCATCAAGACAACTACTGAATGGGACAGGTATGTGCAAATGATACACCCAATAAGGGATTCAGATCTAAAATATATAAATAACTTTACAACTCAACACCAAAAAAACCCAAAAATGATCCAATTAAGAAATAGGTAGAGGAACTGAATAGATTTTTTTTTTCCAAGAAGACATACAGATGGCCAAAAAACACATGAAAAGATGTTTAACATCATTCATCATCAGGGAAATGCAAATCAAAAGCACAACGAGGTATCACCTTACACCTGTCAGAACGGCTAGTATCCACAACACAAGAAATAACAGGCGTTGGTGAGGATTTGGAGAAAATGGAACCCTCAGGCACTTTTGGTAGGAATGCAAACTGGTGCAGTCACTGTGGGAAATAGAATGGAGGTTTCTCAAAAATCTAAAAATAGAAATATCATACAATCCAGTAATTCCACTACTGGGTATCTATCTAAAGAAAATGAAAACATTAATTCAAAAAGGCATAAGTTTATTGCAGCATTATTTACAAGAGCCAAAATATGGAAGCAGCCCATGTGTCCACTGATAGATGAATGGAAGAAGAAGATGTGGTGTATATATATAATGGAATATTACTAAGCCATAAAGAAGAATGAGATCTTGCCATTTGCAGCAACATGGACAGACCTAGAAGGTATAATGCCAAGTGAAATAAGCCAAACAGAGAAAGCCAAATACCATATGACTTCACTCACATGTGGAATATAAGAAATAAAACAAATGAACAAATAAAGGGGGGAAAAAAAAGACAAACAAAAACCAGACTCTATGTGGTGGGTAGAGCATACACCTGAGGGCCAGACAGCCCAGGTTTGACTCCGGGCTCAGTTACTTATTAGTATGTGACCTCTCTGTGCCTCGATTTTCCTCTGTACCATGGGGATAGGATCCTATACCTACATCTTAGGGTCATTGGCATATTTAGTGAGTTATTTCACATAAAGTCCTTAGACAAATACTTAGTGCTAGGCAGTAAGTACAATGTACGAACACCCAACCTATAACAGAATAGATGTGAATTGAAGAAAAAAATTGTGAGTTAAGTGTAAAAACTTGAATAATGCATTCCTCCCTTTCATAGAATATTTTAATGCTTCTGTCCTATTTTATTATTAAGTAGGTTTCGTTCCAATTTAAAACAGTTGATTTTTTAAAAGTTAGCTTTATGACTCAACAAATAAACTATGTTTGAGCTCCAGAAAATTGGCATAGTCTTCCCATGCTTTTGATTCATGGTGTGGTTCAAGTCCCTGTTTTCATCAAAGTTTGGGGAAAGTGTTAATGACATTGTAGTAAAAGGAAGCTTTTTCACTAAAAAGTTTTAAATACATTAACAAGGGCTATGCTGTACTCCCCACCTCAGCCCTTACTCTCAAACCTCAGGAGGGGTCCTGCTTTAGGGAAATGAAGTCACCACTTTTCTTTTAAATTATAAAAATACCTTTATTTAATGTCAGCTGTGCAATGTTTATAAGGAAGCCGCAGAAGGATCCTATTCTAGTGGCAGCTGGGGGTGGTTGAAGTGGCCACTGGGAAGCTGTCAAAAGTTCACATTTAGTCTTTAGCAACCCAAAATTCCAATGTTATTTGGAATTATTTGATGCAAAATTCTCCTTTTCTTATATCATTCTGGAATGGGCTGGGAAGCTAGGAAGGGTGAGCTGTGTGGTGGGAGCCAGTGAAAACATCTTTCTTTTCATGCCTATTATTAAAGCAGCTCCATAGGAACTGTACCCTTTCTTGCTCTGTTCTCTCCTAATTATTTGATTATTATGAACATAATTGCTATGTAATTGTAATCATAACACATGTACTACTTTGCATTCTTTATTTTTCACTGAGAAGCAATTTAAAAAGGTTTCTACAAAGTCTTCCCTTTTCTCCTTTGAAATTGTGTGATATTTTATTTTATAAATTTGGTACAAGTTTATGGGACACTATCTTTGGACATTATCCAATATCTTCCCATATATATCTTTTCTACATGTAGTTTTCTTTTTCTTTTTCTTCCTTTGAGTTATTATTTTGGGACCATTTCCCAAAGTTAGGATTAATAGGTCAAAGAATGTGAACACTTACTTGCAGTTTTTGTCACATAACACTGTTAGGACTTCCAAAAAATGTGAACAAACTTAGACTTGTGGAGGTGGTTCTTTATCAGAGAAAATGAAATAGAATTTTGTATTTTCAAGAAGAGAAAGGCAGGATAGGAGAGTAACTGAAAAAGAAAAAAGGCACAAAGAACAGATTTAAGGACCATTTACAGATAGGATATAAATAGTCCTGAAGCCTATGAAGGTGAGGCCAGAAGGGGCATGGAAAAGGAGAATTCTACTTCACTTTTTAAAAGGAGATTCCTCACCTATGAAGCTAATCTGTAAGAGTCCATTGCTCCTCCCTTTTATTTTTATTTATTTTTTCTAGTTATTTAAATTCAACTAGTCAACATATAGTGCATGCCAATAACCAGCAGGGAAATTGAAGCGGTGATCAAAAACCTCCCCAAAAACAAAGAGTCCAGGGCCTGATGGATTCCCTGGGGAATTCTACCAAACATTCAAAGAAGAAATAATACCTATTCTACTGAAGCTGTTTCAAAAAATAGAAAATAGAAGGAAAACTTCCAAACGCGTTCTATGCTCCTCCCTTTTAATTCAAGGTTACCCCAGTGGAATCATTTCCATAAATTAGCCTACTGGCAGAGAAGTTTTACTACCGGGGCTTTGTGGTACTCGGTCCTCACACACTTCTGGTTTATTTTTAATCATTTGGATGTGCCTTTGGTGAAGTGTGTACTTTTCCCATCAGAAGATTATGAAATGGGCCTCACACGCCCAGCAATTGACAGGATGTCGAAGTATGCATTGCCAAACACTGGGGTTCATGTGTTGAGCCAGTCAATAAATGGGAGAAGAGGGAAGGTGGACCAGTCTGAGCTGTAGTTTCCACTAGTGAATCTCATTTATACAACAAAGCGCCCCACTTATGTATTGCTACTGACAATACTGAGCTGAGGGTTCTCTTACTCTGATACTCCCAGGCTTTGTCACACTAAATACATGGTAGTCATCTTTTGTTTCGTGATCCTTAAAGATAACCTTGCCAAGACTGCTTTTCTTTCTTCAAGCATGTAGGAAACGCAGGCATAAATTCTATCAGTCTGTATGAATCCCAAACTCAGGGACATGCCGGATTTCAAAAGCAACAGGTCAGATGTTTGTAACTCAAAATATAATAAATTATGATTTCCCATTAGAAAAGATTAGAACATCTCACTTTTTAATCCTGTTTTGCAGCTTTTAGATACTCTTCAGTTGTTCAAATGTAAGTAGATATGCGATTTCATTTGATCCTCACAACACCTTTGGGTCAGAAGTATTATTAGTCCACATTAAAGATGGTGGGGAAAAAAACAGAAATATGTCAAATTTTCCAAGCTCATGGAGCAGGTGAGCAGTGGAGCTATAGACCTCTAACCTGTGCCATGGGACTCTGAGCCCAGTCTGTCTACAGCAGCCCTCCTGGCCCAGTTCCTGGTTCAACACATAAAAGGCTGTGTGTGTTACCCATTATTATTAATACTGCAATTGAGGAAAAATATTTGCCTCTCAATTTCAGGATGTGAGGCAGACAGGGATGTGAAATGATCTGTAATCTAATGATGTGAAATAAAGTGGCTAAGCTTGTCTTTTGAGCCCTTAGGCTCTTCTTCCTGTACCCTGAGCTCTTTCCACTGTCCCAGCTCCAAGTATACTAAATTAGATCGTCCCGGCTTGTGGTCCAAGAACTTGTATTAAACAACAACAACAGGGCGCCTGGGTGGCTCAGTTGGTTAAGCGACTGCCTTCGGCTCAGGTCATGATCCTGAAGTCTCGGGATCGAGTCCCGCATCGGGCTCCCTGCTCGGCAGGGAGTCTGCTTCTCCCTCTGACCTTCCTCCCTCTCATGCTTTCTGTCTCTCAAATAAATAAATA